CAAGGGGTTGTTGTGCTGCTCTCCCTAGCTTGCTGCTGCTGTCCCTGTCTTTGTGCAGAGCAGCCTTGTCAGGCTCCTGAGAATAAACCAGCGTCTTATCCCAGGTGTGTGTGGTCAATCCTGTGCCACTTTTCTTCTTTCAGTTTTGTTTTGGTTAGGTGAAGATATTTGCTGAAATAAAGTCATCAAGCCATGGTCACATAGAGCATCAAGAAAATAATGACTTTGAAGGTGATAATTAATGACCTAAATCTGGTAATTCATTGACTGATGTGATATTCAAAGTTGCCTAGCAGGATTTCTAAAGACTAAGGTCTTTGCTCTGAATTTTCTCAATGTGTCTTGGCAGAGTCAGACATGTTTGATTAATCTACATGTTTTATTAAGTGACACTGTGTGTCAGACAATGTTCTGGATATTTGGGATACAGCAGTGCACAAAACAAAGATCTCAGTCCCAGAAGAGCTTCCATTCCCTCAAGGGTGGTAATGGGAGAAGCGTAATAACTTGTGGTTCATTTATTGTGGTGAGTTGTCTAATCTCTGTCAATCGCATTGGGGGCACGAATACCCCCATGCCTCCTTCTTACCTCCTATATTTTTATTCCCCACTCCAGCAAGGCCAAGCAGGGGCATTAGGATTGAAGAGGTGTCGTCTGATCTGGTTCTGATGAAGTTACTTCACCACAAGGCAGCCATGATGTGCCATGGCAACACAGCCATGGGATTGTGAGGTAGACCCATGATATCAGTGGGTCCTGGGGGATTCATGACCATTGAGGGCCATGGTGACTATCATCCCTTTATCAACACTCCAGCCAACCACCAGGCTTACTATCAAGTTACCCTGTGAGTCTCTTGATTTATTTAAACTCTCTTGTAGAGTGGTAAGTAAGTTATATTTTTCTTCTATGAAGCTCTACAGATTTCATTTTAGGATTTTTCACTGTTATAAAATATTTTCCCGCTAATTATCTTGATATCCTAGGAAAATTATCCTTACTGGCTACTCAAAAGTCATTTGTCTTTTAAAGCAACCAATGTCTCAGCTTTTATTTGACATAGATTTTAAGGTGAGATTTGTATTTAGAAATTTATTTCCTTACTACTTTCCTAGTTGTTCTCTATTAAATATTTGCTTATAAATTATTACACTTTAAAAAATGTGAAAATAAGACAATTGAACAAAATATGTTGGGCAAAAATGTATATAAAGTATAATCTTAATGTTGTAAGATATGCATATGTATATCTACACCCACAGATTTAAAAAAGTTTGTATGGATATATATCAAAAATTAATAGTGTTTGTGTCTGAGATATTTCCTTCCTTGTGCCTTTGCAGTTCTAAGATACCCTGAATATACTCCCTTTATAGCAAAAATGGCTAATGAAATAAGATTAAAGATTATTCAAGAAAGATAGTATTTCATATAATATACTTGCAAACCACTTAGGCTAAATATATCAATACTTTAAAAATATATTTCTTATAACCTTTAAGTGAGCCAAAATTAACTTTTCCCATGTAGAGTGTTTTAATGAAATCCCACCATATTCTATCAAGAATTTTTTTTTTCATTTGTGAATTCTTCATCAGCTTTAACCTCTATTTAAGAGGAAACTAGTCAATTATATATATAATTATATATATTAACTCCATCCCAAATTTGATTTTAAGTTATACTACTTTATACTACTTTTTCTTTCAGAACTGTCAATATTTTCTTGGTAATGTGTGAAGAAAGTTCACAGGCTGAGGTGCTAAATTAGGACTTTGTCACATATTGTTTACATTAATCTTGGCCGAGTTACTTTCCTTTGCTGAGCCTGAGCTTGGTCCTAAGTTAACTGAGCCTAGCATAGCTTAGTATAGATATCTGCAGAATTCAACATTCAGTTATTGGAAATAACAAACATTTTTATTACTCTTGGTTATTCTTTAGTAGGTCTTGGCTTAACATATAATTACAATAATATGACAGTGAAAACCTCCATATTTCTGGAGTTCATATAACTATTTTTAATACCTGTAACTGAACAAGGTGTAACTGGAAATGTAAAAGAATTAGAAAATAAATTTGAGGCTTGATGGGGGCGTTTTGGAGGAAACTACAAAGAAATCCATATCCTACTTTCTACCTCAGGGCTCCTCTCCAAGCTGGGTGTGGGGGGTGGATGTTCTAAGGTGGCACTTCTCTGGAGAGTGAGAGGCACCTACCTGCTCAGAAGACAAGGACTTCCAGGAGCCTGGTCTGAACACCTTGGTGGGTGGTGGAGAACATGTTCAAGCAATGCCCCCTCTCTGTATTTCAGCGGTGAGCACTGATCCCTTATTGGTAGCCTCTGGCCTTACACAACAAGGAAGACAGCTATAATTCTCTGAGCCCCTTCTCTACACCAGACACTTCTTTCTCACCAAATACAAATATCTATTGAGGGCCATTTATGTGGTAGGCATGTCCTGTGTGTACAAACTACTGTATTCTAAAATGCAACTAAAATTATTTAAGCAACATTTCCCACAGGATGGCACTGTTCCAGGGGCAAAGGATTCCTCTGATGGCTGATTTTGTTCTCTTTGTTCCATCTATCCTTTATTACCTCTTCCTCTTTTTCCTGCTTTTTTTTTATATTTTTATGGTTCTATTTTATTTTCTTCGTTATTTTCGTGTTTGGTCTTGGCTTAACATATAATTACAATCTATCCCATATACTTTTAAGTAGTGTTACATAACTTAATGTATACCATGAAAACATTACAGTACACTCCATCTGCCTCTTCCAAACCTTTGTATTATTTTTCATGCGTTCTGCATTTTTGTATGCTAAAATCCTCATGCAACATTTTTGTTATATTATCAGCCAAATATTTTTCAAGAGTTTAAATACTAGGAAAATAATCTTATTTTTTCACCCATGCACTTACTACTTCTGGTGTTTTTCATTCTCTTGAATGGGTCAATATTTCCAAATGGAATCATTGTCCTTCTACCTAAAAGATTTCTGTTAGCATTTCTTGCAGTATGGGTCTCTAAGTCATGAATTCTCTCAGGTTTTCTGTGCCTGACAAATACTTTATTTTGCCATTGTTCTTGAAAGATAATTTTCACTGCATATAGAATTCTAAGATTGTAGGTATGTTTTCCTTATGTATTTTAAAGATGTCCCTATGTGTCTTCACTTGCATTGTTCAGGGAAAAAATTCTTTTCCTGTAATTAAAGAGTCTTGTTTGTCTCTGACAGTTTTTAGGATTTTTCTCTATTTTACTGGTTTTGAGCTATTTGAATATCTGGGGCTTAGAATAGTATTTTTCTTCATGTTACTCATGATTGGACTTTGTTAAGCTTCTTGAATCTGTGTGTTTATAGTTTTCATCAACCTGGAAAATTTGAGAACCATTATTTATTCATATATTTTTTCTGTCCTCACATCCTGCTCTCTAGGGACAAAGAAGGACCAGAAGTTGAATCCCTCAACAGGACTAGGGTAACTTGATTAAGATAGATTCCTGGTACAGAGAAAACATGATTAGTATTAGCTTAACCTATGATGACAAAATCTTATATAACTAAAAGTTCATATGTATAGTGGTTCTAGCACAATTAATTTAGTAGCTCTATAGTTTGACAAAATAACAAAACTCCATATTTCTTAGCTTCTATCCTTACTGGATAGCTTTCTTCTCAGCTCAATTTTCCTTTTGTAACCAAATCTGTGGTCATAGTTTCATGTACTATATCCAGACAAAAGGACATCCAATGGAAAATAAGGGACTGACCTGTGTGAATTCTGTTATGAGGAAGGAAATCTTTCCTGGAAACACTCAGTCCTTAGATTGCATTTCTACTTAGTTTTTTCTGAACCTGTAGACAGCAGTGATCTATTTGTAAAATTTAAAACAAATCTCCAACTTGTTCCATTCAGTAAAACATAAGTTTATTGTATGCTTTCATCCAATTTTAACCTTTGGTGGATGAGCAGGAATTCCTTTTATGGCTTCATACTTGGTTACTACCCTCTCTAATGTCTGATATTTAACTATGATACTAGTTATGTAAACGAGTCCCCTAGATTCTGTTTGGTCCACAGACAGGGAAGGAAAAGTTATGCATGATCCCTTCCTCAAGGAGCTCCTAGTCTGTTAGGAAAAATTTAATAAAAGAGGCACTGATGAGGAACTGTGATCAATGCTTTCCAATAGAGAGAATGTCATTGTATGGCTCTGCTGCACATAGAGGAAATAACCCAATATCAGAGGTACAAACAAAACGTCTTAGATAATTGTAAGTATAATGTAAGATATGAAGGTATATAGAAGTTAGCCAGATGGAAGGGGAAGGAAAGCATCCCAGAAGAAAGAGCAGCATATCAGGGTATGTAAATTACTTGAAACAGATGAGCCCAGTTGAATATGTATTGGGTTAGTTAATCTTTTGTAATGACAAATAGCTATTAGAAGAATATCCTATAAAGTCTCAGGTCAGTACTGAAGGGTTATCTGTGCATGCAACAGTCCACAACATTTCCTCAGTCTTTCCTAGACCCTGTGTTTTATTAAAATGTTATGCTTCCTTAGTCTTCTAGAATCAGCCATTTCTCCTAAAGCCCTAGTTCTTTTAAATGAAAATTGGTATAAAAAATGTGGCTACTGGGTGTACTCATTGTAGCCAATGATGCAAAATTCCTGAGATGTAGCTTAATAATTTGATAACTACCGGAAATTTGGCTTCCAAGCCTGCAATGGAGCCTGAACAAAGGATGTCACTTTAATATGACTTCAACTGTATGTGACATCCTTAACTCAATTACTGATAAAACTTCCAATTGAGGCATATAAAAACTTTAAAAATGTTTATGTGACCCTCCCTGATCTTTCCCCTCCACCATTTTTTGCAGTTGGGCAACTTTTGGCTGCAGTCCTTACTTCACTAATTTCAAGTAATTTGAGAACCTGTCCAGACCTGAAGATCCAAGAGGACCTTTAGCCAGACAACTCCATGGATTCCCTAGAGAGTGATGCCCCAACTTCAAATTCTGATTCATCCCCGATTCCAGCTGAAAAAATACCCAAGAAAGTTAGGAAAACCTCCCAGCCACCATCATTCTGTGAAATACAAAACCTGGACCTCATTGATTTCACCCCTGGTCCTGTTAGCAACTATTTCACCCCTCTACCAGAGGAGTTGCTCCACTTCCAGTACAGGGATGAGACAACTGAAGAAGAGAGGCAGTGGGAAAGGTCAGCATTCCCCCAGAGGAAAAAGACGTTCATGGGGAACATAAGACAGAAAGCCCTCAAAAACATGGCACCTTATCAAGTTGAAAGGGAAGGGAAGATCTCTTTATCTCGTGGTAAAGACCAGAATGGATGTAAATGCCATTACTGCCAGATTGAGAGGGAAGATATTTCTAAGAACCCGAAAGAGGAGATTCCATCCCCTTGGAAAGTGGTGGTACAAGGTCTAAGCTGCTTGACCCTCAGCCCTGATACCAAACAGAAGAAGTAAAGAAAGAAGAGACATCACAAATGGCAAAAGAAGGCAAAATCATTTTTCAGTGGCTCCTAAAATAATGGTTGAAATAAATCTGAGGGTCTCTGCATCATGAGATCACAATCAGTTCAGATGTGTGGATACACAGTTCTTTGAGTGGAAATTGTTGGTAAACAACTAGAAATCTAGGTCATTAGAAGCTTCAAGGTCCAGTGTTTTGACCAAAAAAAAAATCTCATTTGTACCTGGTTAGATCCAATTCTAAGAAAGTAACAGACACCCTGCAGTGATTTTAGAGTCAATGTTGGTTAAGTTGGGCAGAGTTACTCTGTGGTAAGGAAGGTGGGTGAACAATGGTTCTTAATGCCCCATTATTTTGTTTGCAAAGTACAACCTGATTTTTTTCTCCTGAATCTTTTTTTCCTTATCCTGTTTCTATTAAGGTATAAATGGTCTGTGTAGTATATGTGTCTTACAGTTCTTGGTTTGAAGTACTTTCATTCTGTTATATGGACAGGAAAAGGCTCTGTCTGGTGAAAAGTATGCATGTTTTGAATATTTTAAGTTAATGAGACGATGAGATCCACACTGAGGTTTTGAATTTTAAAAAATGTGTGGTGATGTGCTGGGTGGTGGCTCAGTGGTGGAGCACTCACCTAGTACATTGTGAGGCATTGGGTTCAAACCTCAGCACCACATGCAAATAAATAAAATAAAGGTATTGTGTCCATCTACAACTAAAAATATTGGAAAAATGTGTAGTGTAAAGGAATATGTGACTAGAACTTTTGGACTTCTCATTGAATTATTTGGTTAAATTATTATACTTAACACTTATTAAGAGTAGGAAAGGATATTTATACTCCTTAACAATTCAGTTAAGAATTGAAGAAATTTCTAATGTTTTGTCTCAATTGTCTGTACCAAAACCTGTGTATATTATTAAATACTATAATTCAATGCTAGATATTTTTTTTCAAAGTTGACTGTATCATATTTTCTCAAGGAGCACTACAGCTATTGATTTAGATAGGGGTATGGGAAAGGGAACTTTGAGTACATTTTCATCATTATTTTAGTTACCATAGTCAGGATGGATGTGGAACAGCCTTTGAATATTACAAAATCCCTCCCTGGGACACCCATAGGAACCAGAATAGCCTGCCCACAGTATGAGCATAGGCATGCAGCGGGCACAAATTGAGTGTTGTACAATCCACAATACTCCTTTGGAGTTTGATGGTAAGCAACAATCTCATGCCCACTACAGAGAAACACAAACCATCTTATTAATTATACTTCTCCCAAGTTGGTGACAACTATTAGATATGTATAACTCGTAGATATGAAAATGATATTAAACCAATTGTAGTAGTTTAATTCCTATAGAACCTTGTGAGAGTTACTCCATCACAGATCATAACATTCTGCTGATAGGAAAACAAGTCTGGCTTTGCAGCAATCTCCTTTCTTAGGCAAACTTCAGCAGTGTGATACAGTGAAAATTCATGCTGTTCTCACACATGGAAATGACTTCAGGACATATGAATCAATATGGACTGCATTCCGAGCTTATGTTTTCATTAGAGTGTCTGGGGGTGAAAATTTACTGTGTGGCTATGACACAATTAAAGAGGACATTCTACAAAATGGGAGGTTTTATATGTTTGGAATTTCATGGCCTACTTTGGTGATGTAAATTGGGGTGTGTTTTGAAAGAAGTGTAATAGTAGTTTCTTCTGATCAGCAATACTATTCCAAGTATTTTTAGGTACCTATAGATTTTGAAATAGAAGCCATAACTGATCAAAGCAGGTTTGGGGGAGCAGATATTGACATACAATACAACTCTTTTCTTCAGAACTAATAGTTTAATTCATTTGCATATAAATTTCAGGAGAGAATGACTGGGTGTCATCAGGTATCAGTCAGGGTCCTCCAGAAAAACAGAACTGTGTGTGTGTATGTGTATGTGTGTGTGTGTGTGTCCAGAGAAAGAGAGGGAGAGATTAGTTTTAAGAAATTGGTCCATGTGAATGTAGAGCTTATCATGTCCAAATACTGCAGTGTAGGTAAGCAGGTTTGACACCCAGGTAAGAGGTGATTATGCAGCTCAAGTCTGAAGACTTTGAGGAGTCAGGAGTCTTTCTCTGAGGGACCTCACTCTGTATTCCTTTATGATCTTTGATTGACTGGGTGAGGAGCATAATATGCTCTAATAAAAATCTACTGATTTAAATGTTAATCTGATCTAAAAATTAGGTTCCCAGTCACAACAATATGGCGTTTGATCAAAAAATCCGAATACATTGGTCAAGTCAAGTGGACATACAATTAACATCACAAGTCTGTCCCTTGTCAACTTGACAGTCACATATCTTTCTTTAAACCATTCTTAATATTTGAATAAAGACAATAAGTTTATGCTTCATGTAAGAAAATAAACTATCCTGTTTAAAAGCAAAAATACACTTATCATTCCCTTTCCAATCATTCTCCATACTGCTTTCCAGATTGGTTGCACCAATTTGCAGTCCCACCAACAATGTATGAGTGTGCCTTTCCCCCCACATCCTCACCAACATTTATTGTTGTCTGTATTCTTGATAACTGCCATTCTGACTGGAGTGAGATGAAACCTTAGAGTAGTTTTGATTTGCATTTCTTTAATTGCTAGAGACGTTGAACATTTTTTTTTTTTGTATATTTGTTGATCCAATGTATACCTTGTTCTGAGAAGTGTCTGTTCAGTTCCTTGGCCCATTTACTGATTGGGTTATTTTATTTATTTATTTATTTATTTTGTTGTTTTTGTTTTGTTTTTGGTGTTAAGATTTTTGAGTTCTTTATATATCCTGGAGATTAGTGCTTTATCTAAAGTGTGTGTGGCAAAACTTTGCTGCCAAAATGTAGGCTCTTTGTTTACCTCATTGATTGTTTCTTTTCTTTTGCTGAGAAGAAACTTTTTAGTTTGAGTCCATCCCATTTATTGATTCTTGATTTTATTTCTTGTGCTTTATGAGACTTGTTAAGGAAGTTGGGGCCTAATCTGTCATGATGAAGAATTGGACCTACATTTTCCTCTATTAGGCGCAGGGTTTCTGGAGTAATTCCTAAGTCCTGGATCCACTTTGAGTTGAGTTTTGTGCATGGTGAGAGATAGGTGTGTATTTTCTTTTCTTTTTTTTATTTTTTAATTTTTTATTGTGGGTTGTTCAAAACATTACAAATTTCTTGACATATCATATTCCACACTTTGATTCAAGTGGGTTATGAACTCCCACCTTCACCCCATACACAGATTGCAGAATCACATCAGTTACACATCCATTGATTTACAAATTGCCATACTAGTGTCTGTTGTGCTCCGCTGCCTTTCCCATCCTCCACCCTCCCCCCTCCCCACCTCTCCCCTCCCCTCCCCTCCTCTCTCTCTACCTCCTCCACTGTATAACCCTGAGGGTCTCCTTCCATTACCATGCAATTTCCCTTCTCTCTCCCTTTCCCTCCCACCTCTCATCCCTGTTAAATGTTAATCTTCTTCTCCTGCTCTTCGTCCCTACACTGTTCTTAGTTACTCTCCTTATGGTTTATTTGAGTTTTTTTTTTTTGGAGTTAAGATTTTTGAGTTCTTTGTATAACCTAGAGACTAGTGCTCTATATGATGTGCAAGTGGTAAAATTTGCTCTCATTCTGTAGGCTTACTATTCACCTTACTGATTGTTTCTTTTCCAAGAAGAAGCTTTTCAGTTTGAATCCATCCCATTTATTGATTCTAGATTTCATTTCTTGCACTATAGGAGTATTATTTAAGGAAGTCAGGGCCTAATCTGACATGATGAAGATTTGGGCATACTGTTTCTTCTGTTAGGTGCAGGGTCTCTGGATTAATTCTTAGGTTCTTGATCCACTTTGAGTTAAGTTTCGTGCATGGTGAGAGGTAGGGATTTAATTTAATTTTGCTGCATATGAATTTACAGATTCCCAGCACCATTTGTTGAAGAACTATCTTTTCTCCAATGTATATTTTTGGCTCCCTTGTCTAGTATGAGATAACTGTATTTTTGTGGGTTTGTCTCTGTATCATCTATTCTGTACCATTGGTCTACCAGTCTGTTTTGGTGCCAATACCATGCTGTTTTTGTTACTATGGCTCTGTAGTATAGTTTAAGGTCTGTATAGTGATGCCACCTGCTTCACTCTTCTTGCTAAGGATTTCTTTGGCAATTCTGATTCTCTTATTTTTCCAGATGAATTTCATGATTGTTTTTTCTATTTCTATGAGGAATGCCATTGGGATTTTGATCAGAATTGCATTAAATCTGTATAGTGCTTTTGGTAGTATGGTCATTTTGACAATATTAATTCTGTCTATTCAAGAACAAGGGAGATATTTCAATCTTCCAAGGTCTTCTTTAATTTCTTTCTTTAGATTTCTGTAGTTTTCATTGTAGAGTTCTTTCACCATTTTCATTAAGTTGACTACCAAGTATTTTAATTTTTTTGAGGCTGTTGTAAATGGGCTGGTTTTCCTAGTTTCTGTTTCAGAGGATTTGTCACTGATGTACAGAAATGGCTTTGATTTTGGGGTGTTGCTTTTATATCCTTCTACTTTGCTAAATTCCTTTATTATTTCTAAAGTTTTCTGGTGGAATTTTTTGGATCCTCTAGGTATAGAATCATGTCATCAGCAAAAAGTGATAGGCTTCTCTAATCATCCCATGATCCCCCTCCCAAACCCACTGTATATCAGCTATGAATACAAACAGCAATAAGTGTTGGCAAGGATGTGGGGGAAAAGGTACACTCATACATTGCTGGTGGAACTGCAAATTGGTTCAGCCAATATGGAAAGCAGTTTGGAGATTCCTTGGAAAAATGGGAATGGAACCACCAATGACTGAGCTGTCTCTCTCCTCAGTGTATACCCAAAAGACTTAAAAACAGCATACTACAGGGACACAGATACATCAATGTTTATAGCACCACAATTCACAATAGCTAAACTGTGAAAC